AGACAGAATTCCTGCATGGAAAGGCTGCTCTCAGAATGGCACCAACTTCTCATCTATGCTCCTGTTACTGTATTTGGGATGTCAAACCAGTTGAGAGCACTAATTTATGTTTCTCGCTTTGCAGATTTAAATGATAAATATGAAACCAAAAAACGGCTATAAAATAATCCAAGGGAGAGCTCTGTATTTTGGAATCTCAAACACAACTGCACAGGCAATGGCAAAAGACTCATTCTAAAAATTCATCACGAGTACAGTATTTTGGCACCATTTCTTATTGCTAGAAAGCAGCAGTATTTTTGAATAACAGGTTTACCAAAGTGGAGTGGGTGGAATTTTCAGAAAATCGTAATTCCATTATTGGCTTGGATTTCAAGGCTTCTAACCTTAAATGTGGTTAGTTCCCTCTAAGAGCTAGGCACAGAGCACAGATTTAAAACAACGGTGCTTGCAAGGAAACTTTTAAAAAATCTCATTTGTTAATGAGGACAAATGCCTGTCTGCTTTCATATGCATATTTTATGGTTTAATTATGTTGATACACATTTAAGTATAGGTCTGGAATTTTAGGCATCAGTTATAATAGTGCATACTTGAATATATATCAGAGGTTTCATAGTCATCATGATTGGCATGCATTTGCAGTGCTAGTGACAGTCAGTAGTATTCCACGGTTGAGGTATGCATTTGAAGCCATATCAGTGATTTGATCTAAATTAATAGTAGTGTGACAAGTGAAACTGCATCAAGGAGCTGATGTGGGTAGATGGCTGTTGTCCACTTTTAAATAAATTAAGATAAAACCTCAAAAACAGGTGAGCAGAAAAAATTCTACTAGCAATTTCTTGTTTGAATACTGTTGTATACTGGTTTAGTTGGGACATTCTCAAAAAGCCAATGAAACCTCAGTTGAATGACTCCTCATAAATGCAATTGCAGTGACTGGATGTGTTCCATTCAACCAGTACCTCTAACATAAAAAGATCCTCGTGGCCACTTCCTTGGCTAAACTAATATAGTTCTTGTCAAGTTAATGGAGTTACAAACATGTGCACCTGTTAGGATCTATCTGCCTTATACAAACCAGCAGAATTTACTGCAGCAAGTATTACTACCACTGTGCGAAGCAGTACTGTCATTATACACTGTAGCAAGCAACATATTCCAGATTCCTTTTCTGTTGTATTTTCCTATGAAAGGAAACATACAGAGCTATGGAAAATTTTAAGCAACAATTAGTAATGCAGGACTAAAAATGTATATATATGACCTAAAAAAAATCCAAACAAAAAATACTCTCAGCTTTTGAAACAAAACTGAAAATGACAAAACCTGAAGTAGTCTGCTACTGATTTATTACCAACAGCAGTAGATATGTAATGCTTCTAAGACATGACATGCTATATAAATATAAATTGAAATACAGTCCCACTAAACATGTATGTTTTTCACTTTAATGTGTGCACAAGATGTGACACAGTGATTAAATGGAGAAGCTACTCCAAACCATGCAAGAAACCACTATCAGAGCTGTGAAGGGACCTGACAAACCTCTCAGTCCCTGGGCAGTCCAGGTGGACAGACCAGAACTATTAATTTCCTCCACAGCAAGAGACTGTCACCCTGATGGTGCCTCTCTTTGATGTGCCCGTGACTTACACTTGGTCCACAACTGATAAAGCAGCAAAGAAGGTGGCTGCTGCAACTTTAGCAGAAACCTCTCTTCAGTTCAGTCTGGCTGCAGTACACACAGTTTCTTTATTCACACGCTGCAATAGTCACAGCATTTCCTTAAATAAGCCCCACAGCTCTACTGTGATACTTGATTCTCCTGGTCTTCCTCTTCAGAAAGTGTTTTGTTGTGTTGTTAAACCCACATCAGATTTTCCAAAGAGGAAAGCTGCCACGTCAGGCTGGTTCAGCTGCTGGTCACTGCCTCCTTTTGCACCCAGAGATGTCTGCATCACAACATGAGGTGCTGCATCCCCAGAATATCTGCAAATCTTGCCCCAGCTTAGTGTCAAAAAGAGCTGCAGTAAAATGTAGGTCCAAAATCACTGTGAACACCTCATCCACAATCTTTATGCTTATCTCTACACACATCCCCCTTCCTGGAGTGGGTCCATGCCAAGATATATAAAGCAGCCTAAACTGTAATTTGAAAAGTGTTCACTAAGTCAGACTTGGCGATTGCCAGAGAAGGTGAGGGAGGCATTATAAAGTCTAACTGTGGTTATGCTCTGCCTCCTGGAAAGAAACCAAGGCACTCTTCTTGCTAGTTCTTTCCAGCAGGGACCTGGCAAGCATCTGCTGGCTCCTCAGGGCTGTGATCTCCCTTGTGCTGAGCTCTGGTGCCGCCCTGGGCTCTCCCAGGGTGGAGACATAAATTTTCTTTCTAGTGGGCTTTGATTGGCAATGAACCACTACCAGAGCAGATACCCATACCAGGAATTTAGCTTTCCATTTCTGTGTTACTGTTGGTCCACCTCTATATATGCAAAATTTTTAACTTTGTCCACTGAGTTCAGCTAGTGCAGACTATGTAGACCAGACAACAGGATACAGAGTATTTCGCACCCAACCAATGTAGCAGTTAGGTATGGTCCTCAGATTGATTTTAATACATTTCTCAGAGCTATGCTTTCAGGATGCCCAGAGAGACCCCACAAGGATAGCTTGTTGTTGGCTACCCAGCTCCAATGAAGACCAAAACTCTGTATTGTTTCCTACCAATACACTGGAAGCTGCAATGCTAGGAAAAAACCCCAAAAATGCATTTAATGTCACACATTTGGATACATGGAACTGCCATGCTTTCATCAGACTTCCTACTTGAGACTATACATGGCCACAGCATGGGGCTCAGTGTCTGTTCTTGTTCAGAATTAATATTATTATTAATTAGGGATTTTTTTGCTATCTAGTAACTTTCAAGCTCTACTGTTGGATGTTAGCTGGCAAGCTAAGCATCTGTTTAAATTTTACATAGGCAATGCCACTCTTAAATCCCAGTTAAAAGCTGAGCACAGCAATGTAAGTTCTTGCGGTAACAAAGAACATTTGCTACCCTGGTCACTCTGTGTCCTTTGAGACATTGTGTTTTGCATGAGAACAGACTCTTCTCTATTCCTCCTTGACATCCTGCAAGCAACAATGTCTTTTCTTTAGGAAATTCGTTTTGATTTGAACAGAACTCAAATGTATACATAAACACCCCCTGTTATTGAATTCATGAAAGATTTTCTCTGCTGCTAGTCCTGAGGTTTTGAGTAATATGTAATGATACTACGATTCTATTTCTCTTTGTAGATGTGTAGTGAAGAACATCAATTCAGAAAGACATCATAATATACAAATAACTTATCTGAAAATGTAACAAGAGTTCTATTGTACTTTGGCAGAGAAGAGCTATGAAGCACAGGGCTCTTCTATTGTCCCTCAGAAAAATAAGAAACTGAGCCATAGAAGAAATAGACTTTTCTGTATGTATTGGGCATCCAGGGACTGCTGAGAAACTCTTCTCTATTAAACAGTGGATGAAACAATTCCAGAGTAAAATGGGCTCAGCACATGCAGTAGTGACCTTTTTTTCTAACAGGAGGCTTGTTTGTTCTTTGTCTATCACATCCTTTGTGTATTTCAAAGACTAGCTTAAAGAAAAGGTGCATTTTATTCAGTGGAATTTAGGATAAAAACCTCATGATATTTTAAAATGAGTCAAGCTCCATCAAAGGACAATACTAAACTCTTTATCAAGGTAGAAAGGACCAAGAGAGAATATTTTCAAAATACTAATTAACAGATCTGGCCAGTTTTTACATGTCCTTCTACAAGTCTTTCACACTGGAAAAAATCATCCAATTCTCCCTTACTAATGGGTTTCAATGTCTTCAGCCTTCCCAGAGTGGACTGATGAGTATAAAAGATAGTGTCAATACAGTTCTGTGTGCGTAAAGCCTTGCTGAAATTGGACTACATAGACAGTAATCTTGTTGCGGCTTTGCACAGGTATTGCTGTGCCTCCAACTGCATAGATAAATTTCTTCTTCTGGGTCTAGTTATGCCATTAGCAGATGTTACAGTCCTCAGCTGTTTCATACCACCCACCATCTGGGATTTACAGCCTTCACAATCCTGCCAAAGAAATGGTATGTGTGAGCACTCCCTAATCTGCTTTGGGCAGAATTAGCTCTGTTAATACAAATTGCCTTTTCAAACAGCTGAAATTAACCTGGGTGACCTTGCACGAGGAGGATGGCTGTGTTT